TAGAGGTTTTTGCTATAGGGCGCATGTGCTTGCCAGACAGACAGAGACAGAGAGACAGAAAGTGAGAAATCACCCCCCACGGGGGATGACCATGCCGCAATCCCTTCTTCATTCTCCTCTCGGGATTTTGGGTATGCATGCATGCACATGTTGCCAGGTCCAGGACTTGGTCGACTACGTGGGAGTCCAACAATGTAACCATTACACCCTCTGCTGGTCCCCCTAGGCTGGCTCCTCTCACCCTTGCCCTTACCTGCCACCTTGGCGACACTTGCATGTCGCCAGCTCACCCCTCACTGCCTCAGGCTGCAGAGAGAAACCCTCTCTGGTACTGGTGCGATTTTCTTAGTTCGTCTTCTCTAAACTAGCGAGACCGTGAAAGGCAGGGTTGGGGAAGGCGCTCAACTCAGCTCTGTTCATCCAAGCCTTAGATGGCTTTCAGTTCACCTGTGGCTCAGCCCAGCTCCCCAGGAGAGCACTAGGGTTTGGAGCCAAAGCATCAGGAGGAAGAGCAGTTGAGGCCAGGCGGTGGTGCAGTGCTAATGCAGGTCGACCCATGTGAGAACGGTACTAGGTTTGCGTCCCGTGGCCTCCTCGGGCACGCCAGGCTTGTGTGTTCATTATCCAGGCTGAGGGTGGGGAGTGGCATGAAGACCCTGTTGAAAATGTCTCTTTCTCTTTCTCTTGCTTATGAAATAAATAAAAATTAAAGAAAAAGAGAAGAATGAAGAGAGTTCTGCTCCAGGGAGCCCCCAGGAAGAGTGGGTGGCTGGGGGAGGGCTGGGGGCCTGTCTGGTCTAAGAGGCCTTGTCCCACCCCGGCCAACCCGCCTGCTGGCCGAGACCTGCTCTGAAGGCCCGGTGACCTCACCACTCCTACACATCTGTCTTCCAGCAGCCGGCCCATCTGTGCGTTTTTGTCTTTCAGGAGGAGATGGGCATTTCCTGTGAGCTGCTGGACTCCGACTTCCTCAAATGCAGCGTGGGATTTCCTTTCATGAGGTCAAAGTGGAAGGTGAGGGGCAGAGACAGGGTACTTCTTTCTGCTCCCTCCATTTCCTGTGAGCTGCTGGACTCCGACTTCCTCAAATGCAGCGTGGGATTTCCTTTCATGAGGTCAAAGTCGAAGGTGAGGGCAGAGACAGGGTACTTCTTTCCGCTCCCTCCCCTGCTCCCACAGTGGCTGAGGCAGCAGCTGGAGCCCGACCATGCCCGGTCCCTGGCAGTACTCCCCAGGGCGTGTGCTACAGGGGCTTCAGTCGCATGGCCTTTCTCTTCAGCCCACATCGTGTACCCCGGATGCGAAAGACACACCTCAGCCTTTGCACTTGAACAGACAGCATTCAGGGGGTCTGGCTAGCCCCCCTCCCCCAAGACATTCCGTGTCACTTTGTGTCCCTGAGACGACACAGGAGAAGATGTGACATGAGCTAGTGACCCACACTCCCCACCCTGTCACTCCCCTGCATACTTAGGATTTTCTGAATTGACCTCTCAACATCTTCAGAAGACAAATTACTGTAGTCCACTTCATTTTTTTTTTTATAAAAACTAAAAGAAATGACAGTCACTTTGGTAGTTACAAGGAGACAATTTCTCTAAGCTCAAACCATAATGCATTGCAGCATCTCCATACATTCCTCCACCATTCTGGAATCTAAAAGACCAGGTCTGCCTTTTGAAATAGAAGCTATTTTCCCTGCTCTGATCTGAAAGAAATTTCATACTCTTTTTGTCTACCTCCCACCCCCCTAAAAAAGTGAAAGCTTCATCCCCTCTCCCCTGCCTGGATCATAGATTATTCTAATCGCTAAAGACTTTTTGGTCCCAGTATCTAGAAGCTGTGTCATAAACCAGTGGTGAGACAATTTAGTAAAAGAGATTTACTCATCTCTTTGCAAGTCCCTGGAACCCTATCAGCCCCATGAAACAAACCTGCCCCAAACTCCGGTGGCCCTCACATCCACGATTTCGCGTTTCAGCCTCTGTTCCTCATCTCTGCAGGTGTACCCCAGGAGAAAGTACACTTCAGCATGGGGCTGCCCTTAGAAAATGATTTCACACAGCTCGCAGAACTCAGGCTAAGTCCTGTTCAACCCCAGGCAGGGTAGGGTGGAATGAAGAAGAAAGACTCTCAACTATAGATGCCATTGCCTGGAGCCATAGACATGGCACCTCCACACACACATTTCCTAAAAACCTTGTGAGTAAAGCAATATACACTGCTGGTCCCTCTCTTTCTTGCTCCCTATCACATGTCAGAAAGAAAGAAACTTAAATAAATAAATAAATAAAATAAATATCTGTCTACCTACCCATCTATCTCAGACTCAGGAGCTTCAGCGGCACAGAACATTCCTCTGTTTTCACTGCGTTTTTTTATGCCCGCCTTTTCTTCATGGCACGTGGATTCCCGGAGCCTCATCTACGATAGCGATAGAAATTGTTTTGTTACTAAAAGAGCCGGGACCAACAGTTAGCGTAATGGCTATGTCGCTGGACTCCCACGTAGTCGACCGTGATTCGAGTCCCGGACCCGGTGGCTTAAACTCATGCCGGGCACGTGTGTGTGTGTGTGTGCCCAAGATCCCGAGAGGAGCATGGAGGAGAAGGGATTGCGGTGTGGCCATCCCCCCCGGGGGGGGATTTCTCGCTTTCTGTCTCTCTGTCTCTCTTTGTCTGGCGAGCGCACACACATTCTAGCAAAAAAAAAACCCTCTCCAAAAAAAAAAGCTAAAAGAGCCAATAGCACTGCAATGTAAATATCACAGGTACAGCTATGCCATGAAGAGGTAGCCAAAACTGGAAGGAGATGTAGGGGTGAAGTCCTGGTTTCAGAGTGCACACATATCACTTCCCACAGAGAACCTCCGGGAGTCAAGCTGAGCACGTGCTTCTCCCCGGAGCATGCTTCGGACTGCGTTTCACGGGGAGGGTCTTGCCACTGTCCTGACAGTCAGAAAGATATACAGAACAATAAGCTTGTCGCGCACGTGAGCCTGCAGGGGTCTTCAACTGTGATGGCTGTGGCAGACGCAGCTCAGGCTTGAACCACCGGCTGGCACCAACCATCTCTTCTCTTCCCCCCAGTACGAATTCAGCGTCATCTTTGATACAAGCCACCTGTCTGGGGAAGAGGACGTTCTCAGCTTCATCGTGACTGCTCAGAGGTAAGAGGGGTTTAAGCATTTTTCTCTCCAAAGATAGAAGATTTATGAGAGCGGGAAAGGACAAGTCCTTCTCATGTCCGCTGACTTCCCAGGACGCTGGGAAGGAAAAAACGGTTGCCCCATGGTAGAGCTCCATCCTGCTGGGTGGGGTGATGGGACTTCTCAGGGATGGTGGTCGCCTGATACTTTTGCATAGCTCGCTTCCTTCTGAGCTGGGAGGGACTGGGAATCTCCAGGGGGGTGTTGATTTCACAGCTGAGGAGAGAAAGGCCTGAGGAGGTGAGGTTCTGGTCCAAGGCCGCATGGCTGGTCAGTTCCCGCTGGGCCACCTGGTCCTAATTTAGACAGACGTCCTCGGTGGGTTGTTAGCCTGGGTCAGCTGCTTCTCACGGACAAGCTGCCCCATCCTCTGGTGGAGGCAGAGACAAGCGTCCGCAGCCTGAGGGTTGGCCAAGCTGTTGGCAAAAGCCCCCAAGGGATGTTCTGGAGAGGGCTTGTCCTGGAAGCCGACTAGATAGATGGGAAAAGGTTCAGTGGGGTGGTGACGTCTCCTCTTAGAACTGTGTGCCCGTTCCTCTCGGTATAGCCGAGAGTTCCAGAGAGGGGCTCCGAGGAGTGCGGCCATGCCTCATCTAGTCTAGCCAGAACCCACGTGTGCCCTGCAGCAACCTCTCCTTAGCACTTGACTAGCAGCTCAGATGGAGGAGAGGCATTACAGATGGGTGAATAGGAAGATACAAGCTTTGCCTGGGTAGCAGTTGGACACTCAAGGCGATTTTTTAATTTAAATTATTATTTTTGAATTGCCAAAGGGCACATAGGCTTGCCAGGGAGAGTGGAGAGAGGGAGGAAGCTGTCCATCATGGGCATGGTCACACCACAGGCTCTCCCTGTACCTCCGTCCTCTCAGGGTCTTGGACCACACATGGACCTGGACCAAAACCTTGCTTGGCCACGTGGAATCCAGCTCCCTTAACCACGAGACTGTAGGGCCAGCCCTTATTTAAGTTCTTACTTGGAAATGAATTTTTTTTTTTTTTTGGAGAGGTTTTTGCTATAGGGCGCACGCGCTCGCCAGACAGACAGAGAGAGATGGAGAGATAGAAAATGAGAAATCACCCCCCAGGGAGGAGGGCCACGCCGCAATCCCTTCTCCTCCATTCTCCTCTCGGGATCTTGGGCACGCACGTACACACACCCGGCATGAATTTAAACCACCGGGTCAGGGACTCAAACTGCGGTCGACTACATGGACGTCCAGCGACATAGCCATTATGCCAACTGCTGGTCCCACTTGGAAATGATTTTAAACTTTACAGAAATGTAGCAAGAATAGTGCAAGGAGCTCCCATATACCTTTTATCCAGATTCATCAAATGTTACTATTTTGCCCAATTAGTGTTATCATTCTCTTACTACCTAGAACTTTTTTCTTAACCACCTGAGAGTCAGTTGCAGAACTCCTGCCCCTTTGTCACTTCCCGAGAACGAGGCCATTCTCTTAGTAACTACGTATAGTTATCCCATTCAGGACGCGTAGTATTGATGCAGCACTGCTATCAGCTACAGCCTGTGCTTCCGTTTTGCCAGTTGTTCCGATAATGTCTCTCTGGCCACTTTTTCACTGGTCCAAAAGGCTTGGTTATGTTCTCTTCTCGCTGTTCTCAAGAGCACATCGTTTGTGTTCATAGAAAGTGTGACTGGGATTTCATAGAAGTACATGCAAAGCATAGAGAAGGTAGATTTCATTTCCATTGCTAGAATCCAGAAGGGCTTCCCTGGGGAGGTGGTGGGTAAACAGAGGAATCTGTTTTGAGGCCGAAGCATCCTAGGCTTGAAGATCTGTGGCACAACTTGCTTTGTCACGTCCACATAGGTTGTGGGTGCTGGAGAGAATTGGGGATTGCTGAGCCATCTCGGGAGGGTTGAGCAGGAAAGATAGAGACAGAAAGGAAGCCTGGGCCGGACCTTGGAGGACAGCAGTCGCCTCAGTAAAGCCTGAACTATGTCCGATGACAGTGAGGAGCCACTGACGTTTCTGGAGGGAAGTGACAGTGCGACAGCTTCACCATAAAGCATGAGATTGTTGAATTTAGTAAGGGGAACAGGTGTCCCCAGGTACCCCTTCCAAATTCTCATTCCTTGCCATTTATCGGATCTTTGAAAACTCACCCTTGCTGGGCAGGGTGAGTCCCTTGACACCTGGGGCAGCCAGAATTCTGGGAAAAGAATATGACCTGTCAGAGGTGTCCCTTGTCAAAGAAAGGAAAACCATCTGCTGCCTTCCAGCCTCATTTAGGGCTAATGTGAGGGTCAGAGAGGACAAGAAGCCGATGGCGAGATCCCAGAAGGTTTAGCACTTAGATTAGCCTGCCAGAGACCGGTTGTGTCTGGTCTTGCATGCGTGTTGGACTCACCCGGAGAGTTTTTGAAAATACTGATGCAGGGCTAGGCAGTGGTTTGGTGGTTAAGGCGGCCAGATCCCAGATCCCACATGGCTTACTGAGTGGTTCTGAGTCTCATATCTGGTGACTCGAAAAACATGCCAGGCACGTGTGTGTGTGCCCAAAATTCTAAGACGAAAATGGAGGAGAGGGGATTGCAGCATGGGCATTCTCCAATGGGTGATTTTTTACTCTCCCTGTCTCTGTCTCTCTCTCCTAAGTACGTGGACCCTATAGCAAAACTTAAATAAATACATAAATAGGTAGATAGGTAGACAGATAGGCCTGTAGGTGGCATAGTGGTGAAGGCTCTGAACTCTCACATGACCATGGTTTGTGTCCCAGACCCAGAGACTTGAAACTCACGCTGGGCGCGTGTGTGTGCGTGCCCAAGATCCTGAGAGGAGAATGGAGGAGATGGGATTGCAGCGTGGCCATCCCCCCTGGGGGGTGATTTCTCGCTTTCTGTCTCTCTGTCTCTCCAGTGAGTGCATGTGCCGTATAGCAAAAATCTCTCAAAAAATTAATTTATTTAAATTTAATTAAATACTAATGTCTGGTTCATACCCCGGAATTCTACTTTAATCAGATGAAACTTAGGCATTGAGATCTTTTTCAATTAGCAATAATCGCGCCTCGGATAAACCTCATTGGCTACGATACTGCCACTGCGCAAAGCTGCATTGAGATCTTTTTAAAAAGGCTCATTGGGCCGGCCCATGGCCTGGTGGTTAAGGCAGCTGAATCCCGTGTGGCACACCACACAGCTTGAGTCCCTGACCTGGTGATTTGAAAACACTCCAGGCACATGAGAATGCATGCCCAAAAATCCCGAATGGAGGGTGAAAGAGAGGAAAAGGTATTGCCCTATGACCGTGCCCCACTGGGGGAGGAGGGCCTTGGTGTTTTCTCTCTCTCTTTCTAGTCTCTCCAGTGAGCGTACATGCCCTCTGAAACAGAAATGGTCTTAAAACCTCATCAGGTGCTTCTAATGCACAGCCACGGCTGGGAACCCTTATCCTTCGCCCTTTCCTCTGTGTTGGGTGCATTTTCGCTCAGGAAACATCTGTTCCCTACCTGTTATTGAGAGTTACCAATCGTAGAGCTAAGCACTGGGCACATAAGAAAATGCAAATAACTTCAGAAAGTCAAGAACATCCCTTTTCTTTCTTTCTTTCTTTTTTTTTTTTTTTTTTTTTTTTTTTTGTGGTTTTTTTTTAATCGGGCGTGTGCACTTGCCAGAAAGACAGAGATTGGCGTGTGCACTTGCCAGAAAGACAGAGACAGAGAGACAGAAAGTGAGAAATCACCCCCAGGGGGGATGGCCACGCCGCAATCCCTTCTCCTCTTGGGATCTTGGGCACACACACACACACACACACGTGCTCGGTGTGAGTTTTAAGCCACCGGGTCCAGGACTTGAACCGTGGTCGACTACATGGGAGTCCAGCAACATGGCCATTATGCGAGCTGCTGGTCCCAAGTACGTCCCTTTTGTACATTAGTATGGCCGTGGAGCATCAGGGGAGGCCTAGTGTTTGTAGCTTACGTCATTTAAGAAATTCCTTCAACCACAGATGTTAAGATCATTTTACTTTTAAACTTGCAACAGAATACTTCAGACACTTGTTTCATTCCCAACTGGAGGGAAAAGATGGTCTTCCTGCCCCAGAGTGAGACTCGCGGGTGCGAAGGAGAGATCGTTAAAGCTCCTTATCTGGAAAACCACAGTTAAATAATCACGTCATTCCTTTCTCCCGTCACCACCCTTCGAGGTCTCTCGCCTGCTAGCAGATTTAGGAGAACACCATGTTGAGACTAAACAGTGTCTCGAGACCTCGCTCCCTGGCAGCCATCAGCTTGGCCCTGCGGCCGCTGGAAGGCATCCCAATGCATGAGCTTGCGGAGTGACCAGGAGCCCTTTGATGCTTGGCCTCTGTATCTCAACTCTTTAACTTCCTCGTTCCAGAGCAGTCACCCAGTGATAGAGGAGACTGTCTGGGCTTTAGCTGCCAGCAGCCACAGGTGGCTGAACAGATGACAAGGCAAAGGGCGGCTCTCCCATCAGGAAGTGATGACTCAGACCTAGCAGGTCCCCGGGTAGGGCAGGGAGCAGGCCCGGCAGTGCCATCCCATCAACACGGAGCTTCCTCTGGTCCCAAGGTCTTTAGCGCCCCTGGGAAAGGAAGGGCGAGGGACTTACTGCGGGCATTCAGTCCTGCTGCTTCTGCAAACTAGGGCTGCCCTGCGAAGGACGGATGTCAGTCCATGTTCAGAAGACAGATGAGGAGCCAGGGGCAGTGACTGTGGCCCTGCGAGGGCGGAGTCACGGGACACCATTGTTTGAGGACAATAGGAGAGGGGAGAGAGGGTGCTACCTGGTGGGAGAGGAAGGCAGGGCTTGGACAGGCCGCAGAAGGACACAGGGCGGATGAGAATTCGGCAGATGTCCAGGCAATGGTGTGGGGAGCAGCCAGGATGAGCCCTGCCCAAACCTTAGCAGGTCTGGGGGACCCTTTCATCCCAATCCTAAAGGGTGAACATGGCTTTCGGCCGGGATCCCCCTTCACTGTGTTTTGGAACCCTCGTGAGTGCTGGGTGCAGCAAGCAGCCATGCCTCACAGGTCAAGACAGTTGCTTCCCTGGAGTAATCACCAAGATCCATATTTGAAGTTTAATGAAAGAGTGAAAGAAGCCAGGTCTTCCTCCTCCTCCTGTTCCTTCTCATCCCTTCTTTTTCTCCTCGTCCTCTACTTACTCACCCCACAATCTGGTAGCCCGAGAAGAATTTAGGGTCGAAAAATCCCTGGTTTGGGAGTCAAACTGAGCTGGGTCGGGGTCTCAGCCGTCTGTCTGCAGCACGCCTTGGACAAGTTGTCTGACCTCTCCGAGCTGCTCCTCACCTGTCAAAGGTGGGGGACTCCTCTCTTCCTGAGTTTACCCAGGGAATGTAAAATCTTGCTTAGGGGGACCAGCAGTTAGCATAGTGGCTATGTTGCTGAGCTCCCATGTAGTCGACCACGGTTCGAGTCCTGGACCCGGTGGCTTAAACTCACGCCAGGTACATGTGTGTGCGTGCCCAAGATCCCAAGAGGAGAATGGAGGAGAAAGGATTGTGGCGTGGCCATCCCCCCTGGGGGGTAATTTCTCACTTTCTGTCTCTCTTCCTCTCTCAGTCTGTCTGGTGAGTGTATGCGCCCTATAGCAAAAACCTCTCCAAAAAAAAAAAAAAAATCTCGTTTGGGAATGCTCATCACAGTGCCCGGCACACGGGAGCCACTCAGCAGCATGGGCTCCTTGGTTTCCCCTTGGGCTCCCCCTTCTGGGATGATCTTGAGAATCCCCTTCAGTGCCTTTCCTCCTGAGGGTGATGCCTTGTCACCTGCTATACTCAGAGTCTTCCGCAAGAGCTTCCCTGGTATTAGCCATGACAGGGCTGAACAGGGCTGCCTCCTGAGCTTGGCTCTTCATGGGCGAGCCATGATTCTCAGGTGGGAGATAGCTGCCAAGGCCCCACAACCCCCTTCCCGTCTGCAGCGCCCCCAAGGTCTCACAACCCCCTTCCCGTCTGCAGCACCCTAACACCTCTCTTCATGGGTCAAACACTTCCAGAAGCAGCCTCACCATAACCCTCCCCCTTCCCACACACCCACTGGGTTGCTTCCAACTCTAGCGTGTTCCTCCCCCACACCTCGCTGAGGCTTTCTCTGGCCAGAGCCCACTCACGTGGGTGACGACAGGTGGCAGGAAATTGGTGCCTAGGAGCAGCAGCTCTCGGGAGTCAGTGGAGAAAGGTCAGACTCTCGTGTCTTCAGCTGGTAAGACTGAAGTGCCCTCTGCGTGAGGAGACTGAATCCGGCTCCCTCCAGCAGCAGCCCCATGGGTAGCCCGGCCTCCCTTCCCTGTCCTTCTCCACCCCTCACTGCCATTTCCGGGTGTTGCCTCCACATAAACTACTCTCCTCACATCTTTGTGAATGAAACCAAACTTAGACAATGGAGTGGCCGCCGTGACTCCATCCAGGGGGACCCTACCCGAAATAGAACGGAGGACACGTGATTTGCAGGGTCCCTCCCACCCTTGGAGAACCTAGTTTGGGCTTCACTGCGCAACACGGAAAGGCTGCTGCCGGGTGGCGAGTGCTGTCCGGTGTTCACGCGTCCTTCTCTCCCACACAGTGGCAACGTGGAGCGCCCCGAGTCCCTGCACGACAACACCCTCACCTTGACGGTGCCGCTGGTGCATGAGGTGGACTCGTCCATCGCTGGGTGAGTAGCCCAGGCCTGGGTTGCCAAAGCACAGGCGTGTCCTCCAGGAGAACCCCGTGCTTCTCTTGTATTTGCATGCGCAGCGCTGGCCCTGCCACCTGCAGTGGCTTACACCCTCCTCCCTCCTTGTGCACCCCCCACCCACCCGCTGGGTGCAGCGATAACCTGGGAAGTCTGATGACAAGCTTAAAGTCCACAATTCCTCTGACTACCCAGTACACCTTTGCTTTTTTTGTTTTTTTTTAATTTTATTTATTTGTTCATTTTATTTTGATTTGACCAGAGAGAGACAGAGAGAGAGAAAGTGAGAAAGCAAGCCGCCAGGCCCAGGACTCGAACCATGGTCAGCCATGTGGGAGTGTCCAGCACCTTAACCATCACGCCACCTGCTGGTCCCCACCCAGTACACCTTTGCATGCGTATATTGCTGGCTCCTCGCCACCCTACCCTTCCAAGATGCCATGTGGTAGCAGGTGGTGTGACTCCTGGGATTGAAATCCCAGCCAAAAGCTGCGGGCCAGCGATTACAGCCGGACGTGTCTTAAGCCCTGGCTCACAGGAGGGCTGCCTTTCTGATTCGCTTCACAGTCAGTGCAGGCTTTGCGTGTTTCTCTGAACTCCTTCAAACCCAGAGACGGTTCTGCCTGGTGGCTGCGATGGTCTGGAACAGGCAGGGACCCTCACACTAGCCCCACCGTCTGTCTGGGTGAAGTCCACAGCCACTCCGGGCAGCTGGCATTGTTGGAAAGCAGGGCAGTGGGCTGCGGTCTGCGGGGACCCGAAACAACCTGGGTCAGTTTTCAGCCAAAGGCCTAGCCTGGAAAAATGAGAACCCAGTTCCTGTTTCCGGCCTCAGAAAACAGAGCACATACCTCTTTGATAGTGGAAAAAAGATTTGTGCAATTAGTTTAGATCAAGTGAGGACCCGCTGAACCCTTGACTCAAATGCAAGCTGAACTTCCTGGAGGTTCACAGTTTCTCATTTTTCAGTCTTCAAGTGCCTCTGGGTTCCAGCCTTGGCTAGAAGTACAAATGTTGATTCCTCGCCCGAGGAGCTGTGGCTGCAACCGCTCACGCCCTGCTGGGAGCTGCAGCGTGAGTCTCCTGGCATCCCTGCTCCTGGGCTCTTGGCATTTTTCATTGCGTTTTTCAGACATGAGGCACTGGTGGAATAGATTTGCAAATTAGCATAGATTTGCCTCTGTTCACAGTTCTGTTTTTAACCAAATCGTTTATTTATTTGGCTCATCATGGGCACAGGGAGAACATACCCAGAACCAAGCCCTATCCATGGGGACAAAGAGAGAGCACACCCCCACACACATTGGTTTATGCTGTCCGCTTTCAGAGACTTCACTGTGAGGTGTTAACAGCCCCCCATGAAGCCATCAGTTAAACAAACACGTCAACCTCTGAACTTTACAGGCCCGTAAATCAGACTAAGATGAAGTGAACCGGTTCTTGCCGTTTGATAATGCCAGGAACTCTCGGTTTCTAAAAGGATGTCCTTACATTTAAAATAGACAGCAGGTGGCATGGTGGTTAAGATGCTAGAATTCCCACATGGCTGGCCATGGTTTGAGTCCTGGACCTGTCAGCTTGCTTTCTCACTCTCCCTCTCTCTCTGTCTTCCTCTGGCAAAACTCATGTGAAAAATAATATTAACAATAGGGACCAGCAGTTAGCGTAATGGCTATGTCGCTGGACTCCCATGTAGTCTACCGTGGTTTGCATCCCGGACCCAGTGGCTTAAAACTCACGCCGGGCGCTTGTGCATGCGTGCCCAAGATCCCGAGAGGAGAATGGAGGAGAAGGGATTGCGGTGTGGCCATCCCCCCTGGGGGGTGATTTCTCACTTTCTATCTCTCTCTCTCTCTCTCTCTCTCTGTCTGGAGAGCGCACGCGCCCTATAGCAAAAACCTCTCAAAAAAAAATTAACAATAGCAATAAATAAATAATTCTTTTTTTAAAAAAAAAAAAAGAAAATAGACAAGTAGCTGTCTATTCAGACCTGGTCCCCCCAAATCTCAGATCGCTGTGTGTGGGTGAGCGGCTTTGAGGACCTAGAACCTGTCCTTTGTTTGGAAGTGTCAGGATGAGCTTGGTTTCCTCTCAGTTTGTACATATTGGCAACTCTGAAAACATGACTACCACCTGGGCTTGAATTCTTTTTATTTATTTTTTTCTTTTTTGGCCCTATGGCACATGCACTCATTGGAGAGGAAAACAGACAAAGAGAGGGGAAAGTGAGAAATCACCCCCAGGGGAATGGCCATGCCACAATCTCTTTTCTTTTTGGGATTTGGGGCATGCATGCCCATGTGCCTGATGTGATTTTCAAGTTGCTGGGTGTTAGACTAGAACTGTGATTGGTCATGTGGGAATCTAGCACCTTACCCACCACGCCACCTGCTGGCTCCGGACTCGAATTCTTAATCGTCTCTTATGGAGCCACTATTTGAAATCTGAAAGAAAATGCTGTAATTGAACCGATGTAGTTTTCTGATAGCCAATTTCTAGTAATCTTGGTAGTCTAATGAATTTAAGTTTTTAAAATGAATTTGTCAGAGTGGGGTTTAGGATGCCAAATATATCATTCATTTGTATTTACTTTTAAAAGCTTATCATCTCTCTTAACCCATAAAATATTTTTCAAGTGGCAAAACAGAAAATATATAACTTTATAATCTAGTTTAAAAGAAAAAAAAAAAGACTATAGTTTTCCTCAAGTTAAAAATGTAATCCAGGGACCAGCAGTTGGCATAATGGCTAATGTTGCTGTACTCCATTGTAGTCAACCATGGTTCAAGTCCTGGACCCAGTGACTTAAACTCACACCAGGCGTGTGTGCGTGCATGCCCACCCAAGATCCCGAGAAGAGAATGGAGGAGAAGGGATTGTGGCATGGCCATCCCCCTGGGCAGGGGGTGATTTCTCTCTTTCTGTCTCTCTGTCTCTTTCTGTCTTTCTGGCAAGACACGTGCCCTTGCTACACGTGCTCTATAGTAAAAATCTCTCAAAAAAAAAATGTAATCTAACTACAAATTTGTAAATGTTTCTCGTTGCTAGGACCTGAGATGAGAAGGCATTACTAGAAATATCTGCTTAAAAAGTGTAGTCAGGGGACCAGCAGATGATATAGTGGGTTATGTCAGTGGATTCCATGTAGTTGACCATGATTCGAATCCCAGACCTGGAGGCTTACAATTTACATCAGATGCATATGCTTGCGTGCCCAAGATCCCAAGAGGAGAATGGAGGAGAAGGGATTGCTGCGTGACCTTCCCCCCTGGGGGGTGATTTCTCGCTTCCTGTGTGTGTGTCTCTGTCTCTCCAGCTAGTGCATGCACCCTGTAGCAAAAAAGATCTCTCAAAAAAAAAAAAAAAGGTGTAGTCAGGCTGGACCCCTAGCCTAATGGTTAAGGGTGCTGGATCCAACATGGCTGACCACAGTTTGAATACTGGCCCAGTGACTTATAAAGCACACCAAGTGCATGTGTGTGTGTACACCCCAAATCCTGACAGGATGGAGAAATAGGGAGAAGGAATCATAGCATGACCACACCCCACCGGGATGCTCTCTTTCTCTCTGTCTCTCTGGTAAGCACACATACCCTTGGTGATTTAAGGCGGGGGGAGGGGATCATAAAGCATAGGGTGGCTGCAGAGACTGGCATTCGTAAGAGAGAGGAGAGAAGCACTTGGTGGAAGGCACTGGGTTAGAGACAGATGTCTGGGCCCTCAGGACAGCAGTCACCGTGCGTGCTTAACCGTGGGTGGGGATGACAGATTTCATGCTTCCCTTTCAGAGTCGTATCTCCAAGCTCCTTCATGTATGGCGAGTCTGTGGACACATCCAACTTCATTCAGCTGGATGACCTGGAGTGCCATTTCCAGCGCCTCAACGTCACCCTTCAGGTACCCACTCCCGGAGCCCATCTGTCACTGGGGGCCAATGGAAGGGCCCATGGGATATGTCGCCTATGGAAAGGCAACTAAAGATCCGGGCTCTTTGCCAAAGAAACCCTTCTCAGCATGGCAGGCTGATGTATGTGGGCATGGTTTGTAACCATGCATGGAATTAAGCCCCTCCCTGCCTGGTCCTGTGCTTTGCAGACCCGTCTGCTTTTCAGGACTTGGGAAAATGCTGCACACAATGGACACCAGCCTCCCCCCATGTGGGGCTGTGGATGACTGAGGCCTCTGCCAGTGTCCCAGCTCCAGTGGTCCCACAAGAACCCCTTTATGTTTTGCATCATTATCTACCTATGGGCAGAGGTCCTCGGAGGATATGCTGCATCCCCTTCCTCCTGG